AAAGTGAACAAACCAGCACAGAGTATTGTTCAAAGGTTAAAAGACAGATTTTGCCAGTGGCCAGTCACACTTAGGGAAGGGTCACCCTAGTCCAGCATTCCTACGGATGACGAAGTGGATTCTGTCTCTTTTTCCATTCTAAATTATAGCACACCAGGAATTTTACAGGGATGAAGAAGATGTCTGATCTTGCAGAATATAAATCTATGGGAATATCAACACAGACCTGTGAGCCTTTCGGACTGGACAGCAACCCTGGGGCACAGCAACCAGGAGCTTGCAAGGAGCAAGCTGAGGAAATTTCTTGGTCTTCCTCTACTTTTTCTACTCTTGCTCACTTTCCCATCAAAAGACCCTTCCTCATCTTCGTCATTCTTATATTAGACAAACAGAGAATAATTTACAATTTACTTGCCACCCCCTGCTCACATACTTTGCTGATTCAAGACATTCTTCCTCCACATATGTGACCTCAAATGCTGGCTTAATGTTTTTTAAATGCTGGTTCTCGATCTTAAGAGACAAACTGTGAAGCCACCACAGTCACAACGGTCTCACTATGAGCTCAGAAGTGATTCCTCAAGATCCAGCTCACACAAGAGATCCTTAAACATCCCAGTACCTCCATCAAACACCAAAACTTAGCTAGTGTCTCCAACAGAGTAAATCCCTAAATTAATGTTCATCATATGTGCCTAAAATTAGGTGCCTAAGCCACCAAACGTGATCATCAAATCTATATCCCTATCACAAATGTGCCTGCCTCTATCCAGTGCCTACTTTGCACTAGTTTCCTAATGGATCACCAGACTGGTAAGGAGGAACACTTACACTGCTAAGCATTTTAGGGAAAAGAGATTGTTTTGAAAATAACAGCATTAAATTGTTTCCAATCAAGTATGACATCAATACTAATTTCAAATCACCTCAGAAATTTCCCCCCCACAGTTCTTCAAGACCAGGGGCTCTTAAACAAAAATCAGTTTGGTGGCCTTTGTTATTGGGCAATTAATAAATTTCAGAATCCATTTTTCCAACAGAAAATAATAACGATTTTATGTAAAACACTGATAAACAAAAATGAGACACAAGAAATTATTCAGTTTTAGTGAACAGATGTCTAGCCTATTTGCAATTAATACAGCCCACTTCCATACAATCAGACTGTTTAAAATGCTGAGAACAAGACTTGAAAGTTGAAATGCAAATGTGTCTGATTTTATGAAGAATGAATAAAATTTCATGTTTCATATTTTTATATGAAAGATCTAGTAAAAATCTAGGCATCAGTATAAATTTATAAAATTAATTTATCATCAAAAATTTGTAAGACAATATGAAAAGAAGAAATCATTATTTCTGCCATGAGCTTTGGTTTGGCAGAAACAATTCAATTTTCCAAATTGGAAGTTAGTTATACATATCATTATCCTTTAGAAACAGTTTAAATTACAGAAAACTATCCCATTACCTGTAAAAATATTTACCCAGTGTTTGTAACTTCTATAGTAGTGCTTTTATATAGCTTTACAAACACTGGGGAGACAAACAATTTTAAAGACAAAGTAGTTCCCAGATGAAGACAAGAAAATAAGTTTCTACACCTGACTAGGACTGGCTAAGGAAATTATATTTGTCAACTGGAAAAGTGAGGCTAACGTTTACTGTTTTCTAAAATATTTCTGATATTAATGAATGAATGAATTGTACACAGGAATTAAGTGTTTCACACCGAAAAAAAAATTCTGAATTTTGATAACACAAACAAGGTGTGTGAAACAATTACATAATAATCACACCATCAAGTTATTTCATTAGAAAAAATAATGTATACCTAGGAATACAACTAATCATTCAAAACAAGCAAAAATCTAGGTATTTTTCATTAATTAAAAATCAATTCATGTTTTCTTATATGAGATGAGGTTTATCTATTTACAATTCCTGGCATTTGACCAACAAAATCTCACAAAAACCTTAAGGAGTCCGCAGTTCCCTCTGCTGCTGCTGGAAATTAATTTTGCATAACACTGTTATTAAAGCTGATATAATTCTATGTTTAGTCTTTTTTATGCATAGTGTGATTAAAAGATTAATTGAAAAATCACTAGTGAAGATTGGGATTAAACAGCACCTTGAAATGCCATGATAAACTGCTTTTAAAATCAGTTGAGGATTTCAGACAGCCCTGAAAGGTTTCAATTATTTATGTGTTTGGTCTGTGTAGCATAAATCCAGACTAATGAGGTACAATTGCTGTGTATAAATCTAAAGTATAAAAAAACCCTCCTTATTGTCTGGAGGAAATAGTAACCTCAAAGGACTAGGAGTTAGCAACCTTTCAAGACTCAGCACTTATGCTCTCAGGAATAGTTTATTCTTCTCATTGCTTAAAGTTCTCAGCTTATGTGAAAGCTGTACTCTGGTTAGGGAGCTTAAACGCAAACGTTATTCACCAGAAGAGTTTGACCAGCAGGCTCACATGGCTGCTAATTATTCCTCTTGAAACACCGGATGAATCTTAAGACCGTGAAAGTCCCACCTCTACAGCTACAGACATGCATTCATGTGCACATGAACTTACAGAATCTGGGCATGAAACTTTCTGTATTAGGTGTTTTTCCTAAAGATGATTTGTTTGGCAAAGTCTCCAGCTATTCTGAAGTTTCAAAGAATCTCACAGGCACTCCCTTCCCCTTCTTCCTCATCTCCTTCCAATCATTTGCACATTCTTAGAACATGTATAGTGCTTACCAGTGCCTTTGAAGATGAATACATGTTTTTTCTGGTAAATGGAATAATTGTGTTTAAAGATGTTTTAATATAATAACTAGACCTCTGCGTCAAAGACCTTCATAAGCAATGGCAGGTATGATATGAACAGTCCAAGGATGAAAATGGTTATACAGTTAGTTAATTAACTCTGGGCAAACAGTATAGTTGTGAAATATTTTTATATAAAATAAGCATTATCTGAATCCTTTGGTATTGTGGTAAACTATGCTGCTGCAAGGGAGCAACTCCAAATCTAACTTGGGATAAGTTCAGAGTGAGAAATCACAAGTACTGAAGAAACCTCCCTTCTTCTGGGGGAGGTGCTCTTCACACTGCCCGTCCTGCAGCACCTTTCACTGAATGATTTGTGGCTGAAAACAGCAAAAGCTTTTGTAGCAGTCAGGGCCAGATGGAAAGTGCCATATTGGCAACATCAACTGAGACAGATGGGAAAGAGGGAAAACCTGCCTAAAAGAAAAAAATTATAAACCCGTCACACAATCACATACAAAAATACTTTAAAAACAATCTTTTTGATCTCTGATCCAAGGAAAATACGCATACCACTGGTTCAATAGAGGGCTGCTATCTTGTAGCAACAATAAAGTCCTTGATTTAGAGAGCGACTGCAACATGGAATTCAGTAAGTTACTACTGCTTGTAAAACGGGCTTCTGTTACAGTTACCACCCTTCCACCCTACCTTATTCCTTATCAATCACATCCAAGATAATTTACCTAATTTCCTGACGGCGCCTGAACCTTGAAAAGCGTCATCTATTTTCTGACCTCAAAAAGCCGTTAGCAGTGGAAGGCACTTACCATATGCTCTAAGAGAATGGAAAGGGTTTCAAAAGTAAGGAAGTAAAACCAGACATTTTTCTATAGGAACAGTTAAATATAAAGTCAGCTCAAGAGGAAATGCAAAAGCTTCCAAGACTTATAGCTTCTTAAGACTGCAATGATTAACTCAATTCTTTTCTGGAATATATTGTTCCACTTGGTGAATCCAACAATTGCAGATTAAATGTTTTAATGCCAGCTGTTTATTTTAACCTCTGACTCAGTTAATCTCTTGCAAATTTGGGGCTGTTCAAAGAAAGTTAATAATGGGATGTTAGTTGATTAATTAAAACTAAACATAATCACAGCTATACTTACTGTAGAGAAATTAACAGAACCTTTGAAAAATATAGGCAAAAATCTAACCATAATAGTGTTTTAAAGTCAACAAACTCTAAAACCAATATAAAATCTAAGAAGCAACCCTAACGTTGACTTATATTGACTCAACAATTCTGTTTTGATAAAATATCTGATTTTCAGATTCATTTTACCGTTTGCTTGGAAACAAGAAATATACTCACATGTACACTACACCCAAGCCTTTTGTAATAGCTTACGTGAGAAAGGAAAAAATAAGAGGAAGTGCCATGAGAAATCTGAGATGGAAAAGACTGATCTGGTCTCAGTTCTTCACCTGTGTATACAGTGTATTTTCAAGTTTTATTTAAAATCTGGCAAAAGATGCGACTTTTGTCTTTCACCCTACTAGGGGAAAATCAGCATCCAACTGCTACGCTACAGACTCCGCTTCCGTGTTGCTGTCTTAGAGTAAAAGCTTTAAAGACTTCTCTTGCTATAACCACAACAGCTGCCTGAGAAAATTGATGTGAACAATAGGTTCTTCTGGAATGAAATCTTGCTTGGTCAGGCAGAAATAAATCGAATGTATTGGACTTGCTCATCTCTAATCCAGCCTTTACTGCTCATTTACTTCAAAGGCAAATTCTTGACTTCATCATATAACAGAAATTCACTGACCCAAGAACAATTTGAACAAATTTAAATCATATTGGTTTCCTTCTTCTTTTCTTCCTCCCACCACTCTTTTCCTTCTTAATTATAATGATTAAGACTCACACATTGCCAAGACTGCTGAAAAACACAGTGAATATTTGAGTTTGTGCTCGTATTTCTACAATCACATTTAACAATAAGAAGTAATAGATCTTTTGTTTGAAGGTAAAATTCTTTCTATCACTCATTTGCTTAAGAGCAAGAAAGACCCTACATTGCTGTGACAAATGAAGAACAGTATGTTTCTGGGGGGGCGTGGTGGGGGGGTGGTGGGGTGGGTGGGAAATCTTTAATAACCTGCATTTTAGGAACAGTAATTCAATCCCTTAAGAAATCCATCTTACGGGATTAAATGATCCAACTTACCAGAAGCATTGCCGAGGTTCCATTTGGCCGGGATAGCTGGATAGACATTTCAGGGAACATCCTATCAATGCGATTGATCACATCATCAACATATCTACCGAACAAACCAAAACAACAGAATTAACACACACGCTCGTTGCCATAGACTTAGATTATTACTCCTTTTTAACAATGTCCACAGGACTCTCCTGAATTAATTTCTCTTTGATACCTGCATATTCTTCAAAAATGCATGGAAGCGTAATTCAAAAAGTTATTGATAAAAGGAAACATACCAAAGCCTTATGTAAGTTGTTTTGAAAATTAATTACTCTGCCCTTAAAAACATGCACTCACTTAATTTTTAGTCCAAACCTGTCAGCCTCAAACTCTTGCCATCATATTTCTATATTTTTGCCTCAGGGGGTCGAAGGATACATTATCAAATTACTCTTCTGGCATAGGAATTCATAGGTTGTCACCTCCTTACCCTCTTTTTGATAACCTAAACAGATAGAGGTTTTCTCAAAGTCTTCAGACTATTCTTAGGGTTTTTTTTTCTGAATCTTTCCAATTTATTTCATGCACTGGTGACTCTGAAATTGGGTAGTACATTCCAGGAGTTTCTCTGGGGTGATCAAACACAGAGGTAGAATAACATCCTTTCTGCTGGGTATAATCCCTCCGCTTACGGAGGCCAAAGCGAGCTGGCATACATTTGTCTTGGTTCCCTGGTATCATATTAAGAGCTGACATCCATTAACGGGGAAAACTTCCTTTCAGAGACCTTGTTTCCCAGGACACATCACCCCATCCCATGGGCATGTCTCACATCCTTCAGCCATTCCTCTGGACACATTAAAATGCACAGTATTTGCTCTAGCAGAGTTTACAAGGCAGTCTAATCTGCACTAATCTGTCCTCTGGCACTACTTTCTGTTCTCCTGAAGTACCCAGAAGGAGGGAGAGGACTGCTGCCTTGTTATCATATGCATCTACAAACTCTGCAACTCGATCAGATCCATGAATGAATTTATTGATAAAACTGTTTTCATGCTAGCCCACATACGTACTCTGAAAAAAAGGTTTTGGAAAAATCGGTTGCCCCAGTTAGATAGTAAAACTGAAAAATCTAATTATTTCCCTTTAGCCTGCTTAAATAAAGGCAAAAAATGCTGAATTCTTGCTCTTCAAAGTTATTCAGTTCTAACGTTAGTTGCTAAACCCCACCCCCGAAAACCAATGAGGTGTTATGCTCCAATTGCTATTTTGCAAGGGATTAAAAATAATCAGAAAAAAATAAAATAAAATCAAGAAAGCTACGCTTACACAGCTGGTAAAGTCAGCCCACTTTTAAAAGAAACGGAAGAGTGGAATTAGTTATGACAATTTTGCATAAAAATCTTAATCCCCACTTCTTGTGCAGAAAAAAGTTTCCCCATTCACTTGAATGACTCATTAACAGCTTGCTTGCTGATAAGCAAAGTCAAAACATCCATCAGCCAAGAACTTCCTTAGCACAGTAAAAGAGGAGACGCATAAGACAGTGCTTCAAGATGAGTAAGCTACACATCGACAGTACGCACCTAACTAATTTTAAACATTACTGAATCCCATACTTTTTTTTATACAGCATGAGAGTTTATACTGTTTCATAAATGCAATTACTCCAGGCTCCGCAAATAAATTAAGCTATCACTTGTGCATGAATAGAGATGACTGACTGAGAAACAGGCAAGGAGAGATTCTGTGTTTCTTGATTAGTATGTGGTTAAGAACATGTCTTATAGCCTTGCACACTATGATGCAGATTATTGCGTAACTTAAGTTTTCTAATTTTCCAAGCTTTGGGCAATAAGTTAAAAACAATGAAAATAGGAAGTTGCATAAAACAAGGGCTGGTTACACACTGACACAGTCTATATGCATTAAGGAAGGAAAATTCAAGTAATTTTAAATCATATAAACAACAGCTGGACTTGGGCATTTAGTCTGCTTAGGTCCTTCTGAAAAATCCCAGGGGACATGTACATTTATTCTTTGAAAATGTGATCCAGGCTGGCTGGAGGTAACCAATTCTTCAACTCCTTCTGAGATCTAATTATTTTTTAAATGTAAAAATTGTCTTGACCGTGTGCCTTAAAACTTGACTCAAGCCCAACTGTCACCTTCTATTTCTTGAGCAGTATAAGGCAGAATAGGGAATTCACAGGGCGCTTGTGAAGAGTCTTCCCTTTAAGTGAAATCACACACACCGCAAACCAGAAATCTTCTAATTTGTATTAACCAGCTCCTGAAAGAACTTAAAGATGAGTTACTAAGATACCTTGGGCTTAGAAGCCTATTAATTTTGTACCACTCTTCAAAAGTCAGTTGACAAAAAAAAAAAAGAAAATTAAAACCACATACTTAAGGAAATACAATGTTTTACTTTGGCAAGGCTGAGCAACTCTATCAGGACCATCCACATGGGTAGCCTTTTCTTTCTCTTCTCAGCCAAGAGGATGTCAGAGAAAATCCAAGACCAATATGATAAAAGAGTATTGATGTACATATCATCGTTTTGCCCCTTTGCCTTTTTTCAAGTAGACATCAAGGTTTCCTGAGGACTCATCAGAACAGAAGGATTCTTCAAAGATGCATATATAATTACTAAATTAGCCTGACTACATGGCGGCCTCCAATATAAAATGACAAACAACCTAATCTAAGGCAAAATTCTTCTATAGATGTGCCCTTCAGAGAGGACATCTGGTAAAACATCTTGCAAAGGGATGGATATGATAAGTCAGATGCAGCAAAGTAATGTGAAAGTGTAACTGGTGACGACTTTAGAGAAAACTGAAGAACACATGATAAAGACAAGATAAAATGCACTCCTGAGGCTGTCTGGAAACAGGGTCAGAGAAAAAGCTGCTGTCTGGAACTTATTTTACAGAACTGAAATACATTAATTTAGTGCCAAAATAAGCAGAGTCACAATTTACACATCTCTGTCCAACCTGTTTTAGCTCAAAAATATCATAGTTCCTATTTATGTTACAGAACCTCTTACAGAGTCTCAGAAAAGTGTAGCACTTAAGGATGGAGACAAGTCTAATTTTACTATACCAATAAGCAATTCTAACTTTTATCATACTTACCGCATCTCAGTTTTCTCCTACTTATAAAAGATGCTGGTTGGAATGAGCATTTACATGCCCAGGAGAAATAACGCAAAGCAAATGGAAATAGATTTGCTCAAACATTTGGCATATCTTAACCTTCAGAAAAAAAATTAATGGTATTCTCAGAATTAAATACGAGCTGAAATTATATGGTAGCAGCTTCCCCTCTTGTGCTAGAACAGGCATTATTCCACCTCCGAAGGGTTGAATAGTGTCTAGACAAACTCCCTCCCCACAGTTTCTCTATCATGCAAAGGATGCTCAAAAAGGTCTGAAGACAGATCGCAAACAACTGCAAAAGATCATACCCAGTAGTCTACATATTAAATTACAGTACAGTAAACTCCCTATAGGCAGAATTTCACCTTTCTTATTCTTCTAGGCCTCAAAAGGCAATACATTAACACCTTATAATTGCAACATCCCAAGTTAGTCCCATTCTATTCAAAAAAGCTTCAAGTAACTTCATCAATACCTGCATCCTAATCCAGACCTGTATGCATCCTAATCAGAAAAGAACAACAGACTCAAGCAACAGGACTTCCGATCATTAAATCATATCAAATACTAATGCAATTTTGCTAATGTAATTTTACTGGTCAGAGGGAGGATTTTTAAAGAAGCTTTAATAGCAGGTTTGTACAACTTCCCTCTCCCATTTTTTCTCATCCTTCTCTCCTTCATGACACAGATTCATAATTTCTAAGGAGGCTTTAAAATTATATTTTTGACAGAAAATCTTTATTTTAAAAATGATAAATAGTATATCAGGGGTACGCATCTGAATGTGCAACAGAACCAGCCGTTAAGATCAGACCTCACATCAGATGCTCTCCAAGGCTGTCAACACTATAAATTGTTATCTTCACTTTAATGTAGTAAATACTTTTTCTACAAACATGCTATATCAACATGGCAAAAGTCAACACACAACAGTCTACTTCATGAACATTAGCAAAGACTAAAATTAATTTGAAATGTTATATTCCAAATGAATTCTTGTTATGAACATGCAGAAAAATCAACACTAGAATAAAGCAACAGAAATATTCTTTGAAAATCTCTCTGCCATTTTGCTAATAAGCATATACAGAAATACTTCAGTCCGTATTAGAGGAACAATGCCTGGGACAGAAGACACTTTTGAAGCCAGTTAGAAAATACTGTTTATAAAGGACTAATTAGTTATGCAAAATGCTAAACGAGAAGTTTCATACTAAAACATCAGGTTGACAAGGTAGAAATAATTCAGGAACCATCTTTGTAGATAATCGGTCTTGTAACATCTCTTTGATTCACACAAAGGCCCCCCAAAAGACAGTAATATAGAAAAGTAATTCATTATAAATGCCTTTCAATTCCACACTGGACAGATGGCTTAGTTCTCTAATGTGACCTCTCTTTTTTATTTTTTTTTATTTTTACTGGATTAGATCCAGCCATCCAATGTTAGTGTGATGTTTAACAGCTTAGACAAGATTTAAATAGCATTTATCCCACACAGTGTTTAACTTGCATGCTGTTCATTTTTTCCACTCAATACAACAATTTAAAGATTAGAAATAAAAGTATTAATAATAATTTTCTGAGGAGGTCCTTTGGAAGAACGAAAATTTTGCTAAATGATCCTGGGGAGACAGAGAGAAAAAATACACATTTGTAATATAAAAGAGCGTAATCTTTCCTATACACTCAGTGGAAAACACCACATATGAGATGAAGAGAAACTCTATGATTCTGTTGAATCTGGATTAATGATATTCTGGACAGCAACAGGAGAAACTCTCCACACATTCTCTCACTTACTAGCACAGTATTTACTTGCTCCCAGATTTTTTTTTTGGCTTTCAGTTACTATTTTCAACCCAGCTAATAATTTCTTTTCACATGTCTGGTATTTCAGAAGCATGGGCTGGCCCTGCAGACTCTTGCTAGCATATGTAGTGTT